CATGTGGCGGGTGAGACAGGGTGCATTCAGGACCCAGACTTGGCACGGTAGGGGTGCCAGGGGGATCACGGCTATCCCTGCACCCCACCCCGTGACACTATGTAACTAATGACAGGCTGATTAACTTACTATATACGGGTTTTTTTACCTTATCCAGGTAAGCGACACAAGTTCATAATAGATAAACTAATCTACGATATCTAGATTTGTTAGCCTAAAGTAATATTAAGAATCTTTTGGAAGAGTAATACGAAATCACAGCCAAGAATTAGATTAGGGATGATAACTGGAATACATTTAATTGAATCCAATCGCACTACCACTATGTAATGTAAAAATATTAATTTCCTACCTTCCCTCTCAGGTCAACTGTCTTGAAAATCACTGATCACTTAAGGTCAGCAGCCAGGTCCAAGAAGGAAGAGAAAAGTGTGTTGATACTCATCAGATCTGTAAAAGAAAACAAGCTTTAAAATGTAGCACAGTGGTTCTAAACCAATTTAGACTTGAGGCACCCCTCAGAAAATGCCAGCTTTTTAGCATTCAGGGGTATAGGTTGTAGTCATATTGGTCTAAGGACATAGGCCAACAAGGTTCTTTGGGTCAAGCTGATCTCTTTTATTAGACCAACTAACATAATTGAAAAAATTCTGATTTGCAAACTTTCAGGTACAAATACCTTTCATCAGGCTGAAGCATCTGCAGTAGGTTTGATTCCATTCCTGAATGGAATGAATAGTAAAAGAAGCCAGAGGCTGGTATGCATGCAAGAAAGCCAGTCAGTGAAGATGTAAATTGACACTTGTTTGACTAGAGGAAAACAACAGAATTGTGTTTCTGTTGCAAAGAACGGAGAAGAACCAGAACTATGGATTTATATTTGAAATGTCTGGGTTTATCTTGTGAATCATGTTTGCAACCCTAACAGCACTAACGTTGTGGAGCACCCATCAACACACTTGAAAGGATCTCAAGGCACCCTGGTTAAAATCACTGATGTAGTTCCAGTAACGCTGCTCTTAAAACTTATGCCCAAAACTACAACCCTGAGGTCTGCACAGACCCCTGTTGAAATGAATGAGGTTGCAAACAGGACTAAAAACCAGCTTACAGCAGGGGTGTCAAGCTCACCTGGCCTCCCTAGGTTGTTTTTGGACAATAGGCCTCCTAGCAGGCTGGATCTGGGTGCAGTGGCAGGACAAGCAGCTGTGGCAGCCATGAGGGGGTTAATGTATCTATTACTTGCCTCCCACTGCCAACACACCCCTGAAAAGGTTCCATACCACAGATTTTGGCAGCAGGACCTACTTCTGCTCATCCCACCCCTGAATTCCCAGCTCTTTTTGGAGCCCTATTGGCCAGGCAACACTGCTCTGCAGGCCAGGTTTGAACCAGAGGCCATAAGTTTAAGTAATCTACAAGCATCTAGATCATGATTATGGTGCCCTTGTGACAGATATGGCAGGGAATATGGGGGAAAAAAGAATTTTAACCAATGTGGTTAGCCAACAGACATTTCCCTGATGAAAATGAATTTGAGTTCCCACCCCAACTAAATTCTAATATTTCATACTAAAGAATTTGGGACCTGAAAACATTTTTTTTCTTTAAACAGCCCATTTTCTGAAGTAACACAACACTTTTCCTTGCATTAATGACACTCAACTTACAGATTCAAATTCTCTTCTACTATACATTACCAATGTTATGGTTCAGTTGATAACTTTTTACATCGGAAGAGCAGGATTTAGTAATAGAATTTTCTTGGAAAAGGAAAGAAACAAAGAGATTGTGTGAAATGTAGACAATATTTAGTTTCTGTATGGACTTCTTTTTGTATGCACAATTTAGGAATATGCCCAATTTAGCTAAATTGTCACAGAGCCTTGGGGCCCAATCCCAGAATTCAGGACTGGACAGTGGGATGGGTCTGACCAGCCTGCAGATGGGCGCATCTGGCTCATGGGGCCAAAAAGTTGAGCACCACTAACCTAGAATGATACAATGACAGTTGTACCAACAAATCAGGGAAGTATAGGACTAGATCTTCACTTGAGGTATAAAAGCACTGTTGCTGAATTTAAAGGAGTTGAGCCATAGTCTACCACTGCATCATTGGTTCATTGTGTTCCTTCATATCCAGGTCCTAACTTAGGTACCTGTAATGCAGTCATTTGGATTTTCAATTTCTGAACTAGAGATGGTGAAAAGACACCAGAAATCAATGAAAAATAAGAGAAAAAAAATTCAAAATGACAGCAGCCACCCTGATTTTTTTTTTATGCTTGCTTTATCTGTCTTTGAGAATTTATTACCTACAATTCTCTCTTGGTTACACAGCAGAAAATATCATACACTTCAGGTAACTAAATGACTGAAGCTATTCAAATAGAGTGTGAACATTTCTGGCACAAATATTTTGCCAGAAAATATTTTTATTTTCATGTGAAACAAAGGCTTTGCTTGAAAAAACAACTATTTTCTAACATTTATGCCAAAGAAATCTATTCACAAGAAACATTAAAAGGAAAATAAGATACCACAGAGTAAATGCTGAATCCAATCACTATAAAAATTGGCAAACATGCAAGCAAATCTTTCTACTACTGCCAAGTTCTAGTCACTATAATAAATACTAATGATAGACCCTTTAGCCTTGAAAATTTGTATAAGATGTTTAAATTTTTGACTCTTCATGTGTACAATAAAACCTGGATATTTGGGGTGGGGGTTAGATCACATAGTCCTCAATAAGCATTTGCAAAACCAGCTGCAGATCATATAAGGTCATAGCAAACAGCTGTGTGGAAATAGAGCTGCCCCCTCTGTTTGCTGTGGCTTTTATTTCAAACAGCAGTGCTTCTCCAGTCATTTTCCTGGGACTGCTGCTGTGATCCAGCTGGGTGAAAATGCAGCACCCTTTGAAGTAAAAGGTATAGTAATTACCTGTGCAGCTCATCCTTTTTTCAACTGACTACAAGTTAAGAATATTGTGAGCCACCCAGATACATGAGTGGCCCAGGTTATACTATATTTAATTAACTTTTTCTCTTTAAGGCTTGGTTCTATGTAACCTAAGTTATGCATAGCAAGATATACATAAAGCACACGGTACGTTGGATAACAAATTGTTAATTGTTTATGCTTTTTATATGAGCAATAGTGTTCCTCCAAGTTTTTTAATGTAACTTTAAAATTCCTAAAAAGAAAGGTGCAAAACTGTAATTGTTGCACCAATGCTCCAACATAGTGAAAATAAATACATGGTGACATGACATGTTGTTCCTTTGTAGGCTAATATATCTTCCAATTATTTTATTTAGCTTGACAATTAATAAAGAAACATTTTCTTCCTGTAACATAGGAGTCCATTTTAAAAAGGACTTTTTCTGTGACTCCTACATTCAGAAAAAGCCTTCTATGAATAAAAAAACCACTTCAAAATATTTGGGGTAGTGTACATTTCGGGTATGAGACAACTCTGTTTTATATTGTTGCTGTGTATAATGTTGCTGAAAGAATTCCACAGAAAGAACCTGTGAATATATACCTGAACAAAATACTCATCTTTTATTTGCTGTTCTTCAGCATTTGTATAAAGCAAAGGCTTTATTTGTTGAATGTTACATGAAAATACTGTATTTGTACAAATGTGTTTGTTCGCATACAAATGGTCACATTTGTTCATGTTCAAGTGTGACTGTTTCATGAAACAAATATTCATGCTGGAACAGAAACAATACCCAATATCCAACTCAAGTAGCAGATGGGATATAAAGAATATCCTGGATGGACACTTCACAAGCTTTTCATAGGCTGATGATTGTTCGAAAGAAGTATACAAATTATGAACAGCAAATACATTTGTTAACAAAAGGCCATTTATAGACAGAAAAAGGGCTGATTTTCAATAGAATGCTTGCATCAGATTTTATGACCAGCTCTAAGTGGGATCATTAATTGAATTAGAGTATCACGACCTGAAAAGGAATGTCAAAAGGAGAATGTTCTATTTAATAAAAACTTCATAATTCCACTGAAACAAGTCATTCAGTCTCTCAAATAGGAGGATGATTGTATAACAAATAAGGGGCATTCTCCATCCTGCCTATTAGTCACAGGAGCAACTTTTATATCCAGTTCCAACAGTCTCCTCCTAATTGTTGAGTGGTGCCCAGGTACTAACCACTGCTAGAAGCAGGACACAGGACGTGACAAACAAAAGACTTGATCTGTTACAGCAGGCCTTATGCTTCTAGGTTAGCACTGGTGCCAAGAGAAATTAAACTTCAGCATGGGCTAGATATAACTTCAGTAATATTGTCATTCAAGCCCTGCCTAGCTGCAGCTATGCAAATGATCATGACATTTTAAGAGTTATCCAGTACATCAGCAATGTGTGAACACAGCAATCGTAGGTGGGACACCCTTGGGGCTTCCAACTTGTTTCAATAAAGCAGGGTTGGACTAGAACCAGAGGTCCAGACCTGACCTTTAAGCAAGTTTGGATCTGGATTTAACATCTTACCCCCGTCAAGAAGGCCAAATTAAATCTTTGAATAGGAAAAATCCTGAACAATGGCAACCTGAATAGATAAAGAGGGAAAGGAACAAAGGGAATGAGAAACTTCCCCTCAGCTTCTGGCATACTCTAGCAGTTGTTGACCACTCAAAAGTTCTCCTGCCTCAGCAATCCTAGAGTGTTAAACATCACAAGGTATCCAGCTGAGAAAGGAATCAAGAGATATTGCCCTACTCCTCCCTTTCTCATCCTACACTAGTCAGCACCTGCAGAGAAGCTGCAAAGGTTTGCAGCAGATAGTGCTGTACCCTTTGTGTCTTTGGGAATGCTTTTATCACAGCTTTCTGGTGTTGCTCCAAAGCTATACAATCATGTACCTTCTCCAGCATGGGCAAGTAATCTGGCCGAAAACACATGAATGGCAATAAATTCCAGTTTCTCTTCAGTAGACAAGTGGAAATGAAAATGGTAGGATAAAGAAATCTTAACTGTATATCAATAAAACATTGGCCCAGGCCAGCTTAATTCACTAGCTGAAAGTATTATGCTGCCTTGGGTCTCCTCTGACCACTAAAGAGAGGGAGTGCCAATGAAATGAAGCTGTCACTTGTCTGAGTGCAGCATGCATCACTCTTTCATATGCATAGCTAGTGTTTAGGGAAAGGCATTTGAATTTTAAAGAATTAAATTGCCCATTTGGCTACAAGACAAGCTCAGTCAGAATATGTGAAGCTAGAGTGTATTTGTGTATGTTTGGGAAGGGTTCTGTTGGGGGAAGAATAGTGATCCATGATAGAGGTATTGGTTAAAAGCTGCTTAATCCCACTGGGATTAACTCCCATTTCTGAGTCTTGCCTCAAGGAAGTAAGTCACTCTCTGGTATGTATACTGTCAGTTTTTTGGAGTAAGTAATA